AACAAATACACCCTACATTTATCAGGCGTCAAGCACGTCAAAGCGTGTAACATGTTTTAAAATAGGCTAAACGTGCTTAGGTGCTAAACGCGTGGAAAAAATGAGACAAAACAGGCGCTTAGAAATGTGTCTCAGAGCTAAACACTGTTTTTACAGTGTAGCTACATTGTAACACCTGAGACCCGTTATAATGGCTCTGAGTTTGAAGTATTGAAAGTTGATTGTATTTGATTTGTGCAGACAATGGCCTGATGAAAAATTAAAAAAGGAGAGCCTGTAGGCTGGAAAAGACTAGTGAAAGGAGACGTATAAAATGCTCACAAAAGTGTATGTTCATGATGCAGTTTTGCTTAATCAATTTGAAGTCTGTGAGTGAACCTTAATTATTCATGAGAGAGAGAGAGAGAGAGAGAGAGAGAGAGAGAGAGACTTTGAGCTATTCTATTCACACAGTGTAGTAAATGATCTTTTCTTTTCCATTTTCGTAACGTGTTTTCACTGTTACTGAAACAATGGAATATTCCAGCAGAATGTTACATCTGTGATTTCAATAGACAGGGGCGGATCCAGGATTATTAGAAGGGGAAGTCCAGAACGCCAAGCCTCGGATGCGAAGCTGACCATCGCCCCCTTGGCGTGGGGTTCGGGGCCTGCTCAAGGGCCCTGACATTTTTTGGGTGTTTTGGAGGGCAAACGGTGATCTTTGGTACAGTCTAAATTACGATTCAGCTAGTCAATATTCTAATTTCAAGAGTGAAATATTGGTGTGATATATTTTTCAGAAACCGAAGGGGGGTTCAGGGGGTTCAGGACCCCCCTGACCCCCCTCCTCTAAATCTATCAGTGGTGGATTTAGAGGAGGGGGGTCTATATGGGAGCGGGATAATTTGGCAAAAGTTGTTGTAGGCACAGTAGGCTATTCCTTAAAATGCTGTGCGAGTGTGTTTTTATGGTTCTGTTTGAAAATATATGCATGATGAATGGTTTTTCAGACAGAAGCATAGACTGAGAAAACTGAACTAGATAGAGAAGTTTCATGGAGGAAATTCAAATCAACAAAGATGAAAAACATATTTAACACAGTTTTAACTTCTTTGCCAAGTGCTTTTGTCAGTTTCATCGACGTTCCATATACCACTGTTGCTTCATCCTTAACTATTCTCAGTTTCTCTATATAATAAGAAACCACCAACAGAAAAACCTATTATAGAATAAAATGCTGAATTCAAGTATGGGGATGGTAAAGTAATGGTTTGGGAAATTTTCTCCCCCCCCCCCCTCCCCAACCCCCTCAAGTAAAAATTCTATTTGCTGGAAAATCCATATTAGGATACCTTTAATGTGTTACAATGAAGCGGACGCACAGGGTGGATTAGCATTATAAGCGTATCTGTGTCTCAACACCAACCAGATACGTTTTATTACAGACATTACACACCTCATTAATTATTTCTATGCTCTAAACATCAAACTGTTGATAAGTTGTTCAAATGGGATTTAATTTACTGGTTAGATTAATATGCCAAAATGAGGGCCTAGCTTACGCGAGACCGATTTGATAAACTCATTTATTTTAAAAAAAGTGATATAATGATGGCCATCCATTACGTTTTATTGGATATATCTATTACATCATGAATCAAACTTTACACGCTGCTTTGATGTTTTGATGGGATATTGGTTCATTTGTCTACATAAACTATTTCTCTGTAGAGCTCATAGAACGGAGAGAAAACATCCATGAGTCACGTAAAACATCTGAAATATTGGTAGAAGAAATAAGAGATGAATTGTAGGAGCTATCAGTGATAATTGTTGTATATAGCAGTTCAGTTTACTCTTTCCTCTCTTGTGTGTTCTAGACATAGTTGTAACGACACTAGTTTCTTCGAGAGTCCAGTTGGGTAATGACGTCACTTCTGTGTAAAAAATTCTCACAGGACAAAAATGTGCACAGAATTAGCTAAAGAAATATCAATGAATATCTGGTGAAAAATCATCTGTGGCCCTGGTAGAGGGTATAACAGCAACGGCACAGTTTACGGCTTTCAACTTAGGGTGACGTCACATCGATTACGTCAGTCAGCAATCCTTAAAAGGAGATCTGTCGAGATCTGACTAGATTTTAATCATTTTCGACCGTCAGTGCCATGACAACACTAGCTTAGATTTTTGGCGTTTTTCTAAATGTGTGTTAAAAGCGTGATAAACTATGGATCCACCCAGTTTGAAAAACGTGGGATTGGAAATCCTGTTATTTTAACATTGGCTTCTGTGACCATCTGTTTGATCGAACTTGTGAGTAGCACTTAGTGGCAAGGTTGTTACTTAGAACTCAGCTGCGAAGACCTTTTCGCAGGTGCAAATTCACAGCCACTTTAAGGGCATCTCAAAGCAAATGAAGATTTTGTTTTAGATAGTCAATTTTAATTATAGTCCGCCAGATTGAAATGCATTCCATTTCCATCCCTCCTCCTGAATGTTATGCTCGGTCGACATTTGCGTTTCTTTGTCTCATATAATGCCAATCATGGACCTTTGAATTATTTTATATTGGATTCATAAAGGGTGTTAACAGAGTCAATGTAATGCTAAAATGGCCTTATAGATGCACTTCTATAAGGTCCTCAGTGGTGTCAATTCTTGTTAAATTCCCATCGAAAAGATTCTACATACAAATCCTTCAAAGGCATGTTACATTTTTGTAATAAAAGCTTTGAAAGTCGCTTTATATCTGGGAGAGAAACTAAAGACATAGCAACAGAGTGATTGAACGGGTGTTTCCTTCTCGTTTTTCAAGATAACGATTGAAGGCAGACGGGAACAAAAAGACCACTTTTTAACTAAAAACAAATTTAGCTCGTTTCCCACTGAGATCGTTGTGTTGTTTCAGCGTCTATTTGAATGTAATTAACTTCCTGCCTCTAGTGAAAAATTTCCTCCAATTGAAAACGCCGTTTATTAGGGCTATCCGATTCATTGTTAAGACTTCTCAAAAAAGATTCGTTTTATAGATATTAATATTTTTACTTATTAATTGATTATCTATTTGATTAAAGTATGCTAGAATTTTTGTCACTTTATTTCCAACAAAATGGCAGTTAAACTGCAGACAGAAGGGGCGATTTTGCACCACTGCACATGCCTATTGGGTATGCTATATCGAACGATTTCCAAGTAAAGAAAATTTAGGAATGAAAATCAAGCTTTGGATGAAGATGAGAAAAGACTGGCTGTGATAAATATCGCTTTGCCACCTGGAAAATAAGATGAGAAATGCTGCCCACTCGCAGGATGCGAATTATTGCCGCTAAATACTGCATTAAAAGATTTTGATAGCGTTTTCAATATTTCACTCCCAGTTGCGTAACGTCAGCTTCACTTATTCCTTCATTCAGAACATTAATTGTTGACGCAATTGCCAGATATTTTTTATTACTTTGCTCGTTCCTGTGGGAAATTCTACACGCTCTCTCGTCATTATTAGCCTACCTGCGTAGTCTCGAATTACGAGCTTTTTTTCTTCTTTTCTTTTTTTCTCTCTATCAATCACAATGATCAATAACATGTCCGTTTTATTTAGGAAAGAAATAAAGAAAAAGGAAGGAAAAGGCAAGAACAAAGAAAGAAAGCTTCGTATGCCTGAATTACTCAGACCGAAAGCGTAAAATAAATAAGATATATAATAATTTTAACTACCCTTTCATTCCCTGCCTTTGCATCTATTAACGTGAACTTTGCAGTGAGTGTCTTCTCTACATGCTTTCCCTTCAAAATTCCCCGTAGTGGGACAGTCTTTTTTTATTATTTTTATCTATTAAATTAAACAACTATTCGCTTATTGTAAGCAGAAAAGCATTACTATTTTCAACTATTTTCTGACATGATTTTCCTAAGCACTATTTTCTTCGTTCCTTGGGTCCATCTCTTACTTAGTTCACGAAACCTTCTGTGAGATTAAGACTTTTCACTTATTCCCCGAGTTACTGTCCACGTGAATTAGCCTTTAAACTAAATTTGAAAGAAACCTCGCCAGAGTCCGATTTTTCCTGTTGGGATCTTCGTCCCAGCAAACCATGCAGCGCTGTTCGTTGTGGTAGTTGGGATAAAAAAAATTCACCTTCATCCGCTATGCAGATTCTTAAGAATGGCACAAAATAATTACCAAAAACAAATATATTTTGTACTTTTGTTCAGCGACTGTGATTACATAATAACATTCCTATTTTCATAAATTTATACATGCAATTTTTGTAAAATGAGGCAAGAATCGCTTTTACTGTCGACGTACCTGTACATATGAATAATTAACACCACGAATTAATCTTCTATCCTGCTTTAGGGTGATTTGTCATCTTTTTTTTTCACTTGCGATTCTAAACTATTGACCTATAAGAGGTGTAATATATAAAAAGCAAAGCAGTTTTCCTTAATAATAGGCGGGCCATTTTTTTTAGAAATTTAAATGCAAATTTACTCATTTGTGAAACGACCAATGTTTTGAAAATTACATTAATTCTACAATAATATTATAGTCTTCGTTTCGATAAATTATCTACAAGTCGCACTGGCTGCAGACCTTCCGCTGTCGTGTCCTCTAAGATGACAAACTCCTCCATTGATTGAATATATCACTGTGATGTCATACGAAACACGTCAGCTTTACACACTGACGGCACTGGGTGTATCACGTGTTTATCACGTCCTCCGGTTCACGCCTTGATGCTAAATGTAAGCATGAGGAACTGTTCATACGACATCTGTATCCACCCCGTTCTGCCAGTGTCCTGTTGTTGGAATGCCGAAGAGAGCGTCTAGAGGATAAACAAGGAAGCAGGTAGAAGTATTTGTTTGTATATCAACACCGTATCAAAAGCAATACTGAAACATTCATTTTTAGAAACATGGGTCGAGTAACACACAAAGCCAGATTCCCATTTCAATTCTAATATTTAACACGCCCCCCCCCCCCCCCCCCATGTGAACTACTGAGTCTCTTTTTAATCATCACGCAGTAGCCCCACAGGTCTGTTTCAGCAAACAAGTACACGAGAGACTAAGAAAATGAACACAAAGTGGTCTGTTTTTGTTTATAATTAACTTTCATTGTGAACTTGTCCTGTAAAAGCAGATAGAAAGTTCATTTGTTCAATGTCTTCTTTCTGGGCGCGGATGGCATGCAGATATATGCCTATTTCAACATGGAACAAAATAAACTTCTTTAAAAATGGGTAAATCATTTTATTACACTGTGTCACAGAAAACGTCTTCACCTTAATGTATAGGGACAGCACATGTTCCTACAAGATTGAAGACATAAAATGAGGAAAAAAATCATTTTTGGTATTTTGCAGTGATATTAAATATCACTTATATTTTCAATAACATTACTCTTCTAAATGTTTGTATCCTTTGTTAGACATTAATGTATTATGAAATAAGAAAAGCCAATATATCTCTCACATTACAAAAATGTAGATTCATTCTGCAAGCAAATCCAGTTTTCCATCTACAAGAGCCACTCCATATGTTACATAGGACATATATATTTTAGAAAACAAAATAGTCAAAACATTCTTTCTAAATAATACATCTTCATTCTTAGTCTGAATATATCACTTTCAGACACAAAAATCATAATAAGCAAATAATACATATAAATTTGACTTGAGTAACTAAGTCCTAAGGTTACCACTAAGAGCTTTGAATTCAACTATAATAGTTTATACCCTTTGGTGACTTGGGCAGTCTCTTCAAATCCACACTAAAGAATTTACATTTGAATAACAATAAAAGTATTTTAATTGTAAGTCAGCAGGAACATCAGTGTCTAGGTTAAACAGGTGCTACGTGTTTTCTTTCTTTTTTCTTTACAAAATGAAGCTGAATCTGAAAAATATCTATATCTGTTTCACAATTCCGCAGTTTATCAGCTCTTCATGCTAAACACGAGTGTGAGGAATTGCTCGTAAGAAATCTGTATCCAGCCATCTTGGTCTGTATCATGATATCGAAAAGCACTTGTCAAAGTCTGAAAAAGAAAAAGAAAAAGTACTAACCTCTGATAGATATCATCCTAAAGAAACAAGAAAGAGAATAAATGAAATCAACAATATTTGCCCTGCAAAAATTAGAAGTTGCTTAACGTTAGAAAACAAGACCTAAAAAAAATCGAACAATTGATACAAAATAAACAGATACAAAAATAAAAACATTTATACAAGATTACCCAACTAACCTATATGGTCTTAATAAGAAAAATTATGTTAATGTGCATTCATTTTCTCTAGCTAATCAATTTGTTATTCACAATTTATTCTTCCTACTTTAAATCTGTGACCTTCGAGGAAAGCAAAAACATAAAATGTTTATGAGTGTAATAAGCTATTTGCAAGTGTATGTGTGTGTTTGTGTTTGTGACTGTGTGTGTGTGTGTGTGTGTGTGTGTGTGTGTGTGTGTGTGTGGATGTATGCATGCATGTACTCTACTGGACAGGACAATGGAGACAGAAAAATTCACTTTTCTACAGATAATGATGTGCATGTGCAAATTAGCCCATTTCCATTTGGTCGTGTGTGTATTGTACATGGGAATGAAATCACAAATGAAACCACGACCAGCCGAAGTGGGTTAACTGTGCATGCACATAATTATCTGTGGGAAGGTGAATGGAAAGTAAGCCAGTTCTATATTTCTGCGTGTAAATATAACATACCTGCATCACTACACAACACTGTATGAAGTCATCGAAGGCAACTTGGCCTCGCCCCTGCCTGTCAAACTTCCTGATCAAGATGTCATAGAATCTGTCAGACAATCTGTAGCCTGGAAAAATACAAACAGCTAGGTTGGGATCTTAGGACCAAGACAAAGGGTTCCCTTTTCAATTGAAAAAGACAATACTTTCAAAAACTGCATAGCAAAATCGTGTTTGCGAAATGATTGTTTCTTTGAAGGAGAAAACAATATCACACCAGAGTGTGATGATTAATAAATATATATATATGTATTTGGAAAGATAGCTGGTAGTAATACTGAAAGTCACTCTCCTATACTAAACATGTGCTTTCTGTTATCATTCCAGTATTTATTCAAGCTGATAAAATGGTGACGTTTCTGCTAAGTTCTATAAGTGAGGATGCAGAGTGCAACAGATCTGTAGGTTCACCACACACACCAAATATTGCATTTCCTTTTCTTTTATCTGTGGTCCATCAAGATATATATCAGTGTTCAGTGATATAACAACATTAAACATGAAATCTATCAAACTCAAAAAAGATCACTTCACATCTTTTTTATGAAAATTTATCCCTTCTCCTGTCACTTATAAACTCACCAAAACTTTGTAAAGCTATCTTGAGCTCATTTTTATCAATAGCCCCTGAATTATCTCTGTCATAACTTCGGAAAGTGTTCTGCCAGTCTGTAACGTACTTCCACAGAGATTGGAATTCTTGAAAATTGATTGTGCCATTGTTGTCTCTGTCAAACATGCCTGAAAAGACGTGACAGAAAAAAAATTAGAATATTTTCATTTCCTTATTGAAAATATGTACCTTTTTGTTCATGACAACTGTTCCATAAACAAAGGCCATCATTACTTATGATGTTCTTTAATTAGATCTGTATTTTCAATCTTTTTCTTGTCTTCTAATTCCTTTGTAATTTAATCATAGAATATATAACTTGCCTGCTGCACAAACTAATTTAGAGACAACTTTATATTAAACATGCTCATTTCCAAATGAAGTAAAACATCATCAATTTAATGTGTAAACAGACTCTTATTCTTTTTTTCAGTTAAACAAGTAAGTCAACAGAAGAAAATAAGGCTCAAACTCTCACCAATCATCAGCCTGACTGTCTCTGGGTTGAAAGGAGTCCATGTCCCTGTAACAGAAATTGTCTTTTTTTAAAGCTGCATCTAGATTTAATCCTTCAATGTTAGTACAAAGTGTAACAAAACTCAAGCTGTGGGATAATATTAATCATGCTTACTTTCTAAAAATGTCTGGACTCACACTGATTAGAGAGTTCTATCGACAGCAAATTATGTAAATACAAGAAACATAACACACAGAATAAAATATTAAACTTTCTTCACTCTCTTGTGAGGCCACACAAAGCAAAATACAGCAACAAAACATCTCCAGTATTTGTTTCCAATGATTTTCTATCAATTAACCAAACATATATAAAATCTTACCATTAGACAAGGCTGTGCCTAGTTCATTGGCTGATATACTGCCACTCCTGTCCTTGTCAACTCTAACAGGCAAAGTAAAGACAGCTAAGTCATCTACTACACACAGTTAGTAAATGAAGGCGTGTTCACATCAGGATTAACTTCAACCAAAAATCCACCAACTGGTGTGACAAACAGTTCCATTATATTGTGTCTTTACCAGTCACCTTAAAATCTTAAATAATGTAATCTGGTCAGAGGCCATCAATTGGTGTATTTCTGGCCTAAGCTGGATCTGATGTGAAGGCAACCTTAAAGCACAGTTTTAGAGCAACTTCTTGTGTGAGAAAAAGGTACCCCGATTTTGATACATTCTGTTGTTGGTCCATCTTTACTTATCTTTGGTTATTAAACATACTGTCAAGTGAAAACAGGTTCAAATTGAACAGTATGGTGTGCAAACAGCTACTTGTTAGAAATGGGCTTGAGCTAAAACACAATGCATCGAAACAAAAACTAAAATTATGTTTTTTTTAATAATGACAATAACCTTGACAATATCAAAATGTGTTAAAAACAATATAAAAGATGGAACAACAACAGCACAAATCATATCAATATCATGGAAGGCTATGCAACACATCTGGCAATAACCATTTCATTTAGTATACATGCATTTTATAATGAAAGTTTATAGCTGACATCCAATTTTTCTCATACTGTATGTTTTCTTTTTAATGAATCAGTTTTATTTCATTTAAATGACCTAAAAACTATTTCAAAGCAGATTTTTAAAAAATTCAACAGTTAGGCTCCATGCAAATGTTAAAATGTTGCCTAGAATATCCAGCAATACATACCACCAGATGTTAACGCCATTGTTTTTCTCACAGAACAAATGCACATGCAGCAACAATGTTAGGCCTTACATATCTACAACAGGACTAAGACCAGATAGAGTCTAACTGAAATCACCATGCTATGAATTTAATTTTTTATGTGAGGTAGTATCACAGTTTTCATTGCCAAATGCCAATAAAACTGAAGCAGGACCAAGAATTTTTTTTTTTAATGGTAAAGTTACTGGCCACAATATCTGCTTCGTCCCAGTAAATTCTTAGACCCTGTTAGAACCAAGGGCCATTAGTCTAAAAAAATTTGGATAGAGACCGTAACTATGACCAGTCAGACAACATCAATTTTAAGTTAGTCCTAGCTGTTGAGGTGAGGCCTTAAAAACACACTAAAAACCTAGAACAAAACAAAACAAGAACACTGCAGCCTCCACACGGGGTCCCTCCAGACCATGCAGCTAACCTGAAAACTAAATATACCCACTCACCATTGGAAAGGGCACTCTGAAGTTCAAATGAATTAATATGGCCACTGTGATCCTTGTCCACTCTAAAGGAAAAGATAAATGGGTAAATAGATTTAATAAATGATCACCAAGGAATTGTTTCCCGATATGTTTACAACCAGACGTGCAGTGTTTAGCAATCTTGTTAATGTGAAGGAATGATGGGTTCTCCCTCTGACATGTGTTAATGTGTGTGTGTGTGTGTGTGTGTGTGTGTGTGTGTGTGTGCATGCATACACTGTATGTGTACATACAAAAAAAACTTTGAAATAATAAAAGTAAGAAACAACTATTTACAGTAGTATGAAAATATAGACTGTCTCAGCTCATGTTTATCCGCACAGTCACAGTGTAATTTTTCACACAATATTAGTGTTCTCTTTACCACCCAAATAACTAGACATAATGCAAATGAGGTCAGTGGTAGACTGTCAACGTGACATTACCACCGATTATGTCATTGACAAATCAACATTTCTGCACAAAAGTTTGGGTGTGATACCAAGTATGGGCAGTACTAAACGACATTAAATAATTGATTGAACTTTATAACGCGTACAAACACTTTAACTATAACATGGCTAACAAAGAGTTATGTATATTTTCTGACACAAACCTTTGAAAAACACCCCAGAGAAACTGGGGATCGACACCGCCCGGCGCAGGTTGTTGGTATTGGTAAGCCATATTTACTTCCGCTCTCGTGATATCTCGTTTGTAGAAGTATCTTATTGAATTTTCTTAATACATTTCATTCTCGTGATGACCCAAAGAGTGTAAATACATATACTTTGAAATGAACTGGTTGACTTTTCTGATTATCAGACATATATGATACTATATGTCAATAATTTTAGGACGTGGATACAGGTACCCATCATTCCTTGTTCAACATAAACAATATGGTGGAAGTGAAGGAAATTTGAAATGTGAGTTGATTCATTTTGCTTTGTTGTGCGATTGAGACAAATGCCATGCATTGTGCCTACCCAAAAATAGTAAAATTATCATTTTATCTGTTAAAATTTCCCATGTTCTTTTTGTTGAAATATTCTAAATATTGACATTCTTCATAGCTGTCTTTTAATTGACATTCAGTTTGACATGCAATTTTAGATTAGCATATATGACATGTAACTGTTTGAATTTAAATCAAAATAATGATAGTAAGCTAACATTGAGATAATTTAATAGTCATTGTCAGTGAAATACTTGAAATTAGTAGTCTACATAACACTTTATGTCCTTTCAGTGGCTATAAACACAAAGATAAAAATGAGTCGTCAGCTTGGGAAGCAGCGTGCCATGAGTGCCGGACCTGATGCCAAGGTTGCCAGACAGATGATGGCACAGTTGAGGCAGGAGCTACTGGAGTGCAAATCAGAATTACAGAAGACCACCGATCAGCTGAACTGTTTAGTTATGCTGGTAAAGAGGTATACTGTGACTCTTTAATCTGAATCTTTGGTCATCTTTCATCCATTTATCTGTTTAAATTATTGATTTGAAATATTTTTAGTTGGTAAATCTTTCTCACATTTGCTTGGATATATACTGAACAAAAATATAAATGCCCTATGTGAATTATTTATGTAAAACATAATGGGCTACGGGCAGAACACACAGTAATCTGCAGCATATTGAACAAAATTAACTTTGTATGATATAATACATATATCCCATAATATTGTTAAAAATTTTTAAACTATTGGGTAGAGCGTTTGTATTTTTGATCAGTATACATTATTCATTCATCATCATCATCATATCTTTGCACCTTGTGGAACATGAGGCAGGGCACACATCTCTTGCTGGTCCTTTAATCATTTGCTCCTCAATTAAATCTGTCATTCATGTTTGTATGGCTTGTTTCAACAGAAGGAGATGAGTTATTCTCTGTGTGTAAAATATGGAATATTTACAGGGCATGGACAGGGGACAAAGCTGCAGCAATACATGTAGCTAATGTGGTTGGTAAGTATTCACATTGAACACATGTTGAAAACATCATATGCAAGGAACATCCTCTTATTATTTCTTCAACCATAAAAAAAAGAATAAATAATTTACAAGAAAGTAAATCATGATAATTATAATCTTTGTGGCATTAAAATAGATTACAACAGTTTGTGTATTTATAAATTACTAAATTAAAAGTGAACAAATAAATGAAGTAATTGTTAATTAAATCTATTGTTGCTGATACGTGTGTAAGATGATCTTAACCTGCAATTATTAGAATAGAAATTTCAAGTCTTCTTATCTTCTTTTTTCTGCACTTGGTTTATTACTACATGTAAAATTTCAGGTGTGGCACCCCCTGACTTTGAAGGAAAGGAAAATAACACAATAACACCAAAACCCAAGGTAATTGTTTGGCCTTTGGTATATGATTTATCAAATGTAGCAGCAGTAAAAAATTCAGGGTTTGAGATTAGAGAAGAAGTGTTTTGTGTTATGAGATATGAATCAAAAATCAGTATCATTACTTTTATGAAATAGAAATTACATTTATGATACTGGGTACTTTAGAATATTTTTACTCTATTTTTATGATCTGAATCATCCACAACTGTCAATTAGATTGTTCTAGCAAAGCTTTTGTTTGAAACAAATAACCACGACCTTTTCACCCATTCACAAAAGAAGTTACCAATTATATTTTACCATTTCTGTTAGTTAGTAGCTAGCTATAGTAAGAGTGAAATATATGAAACATTTTATGTGTTTTATATATGTCATTACATGAATGATCAGTTAATCTGTGCTATAATATTGTTCATCAGACCAGGTCCCTCCAGAACTGGGCCTTGCTGACCATAGGGCTGCTGCAGAGGGAATACAAGGCACTGGAGAGAGAGGTCCAAGACAGGCAGAAGATCTTCTTTCAGAGTCGACAGGGTTTTCTGGAGGAGCAGCTCATACAGCACCGCGACATGCTGGCTGTTGATAGGGGACGGGATGGGGGCCACAAACGGACGTCCACCATGGAGGAAGTGGACAGGTTGTTTTTGAAGAATCAAAAGGTACTGCACCACAGGGAATTGGAATATTAGCATGTGAATTTGATCATTCTAGCATGGTTAATTTAAACCAAATGCTGAAGCATGTTCTAATTTTGATTTGGCAGAAATTCTCAAGCTTTTTGGCTTTAACAAATTTTTTCTACTATAACTACCCTGTTCTCAGGATCACTTCATTTTTCAGAGGTGGAGAGAATGATAACTGATAACATATTTTATATTATTTTGATTGTTTTCAAATTTATATGTGACATATCAAAGACAAATTAGTATATAGATCAAATGAATATTAAAATACTTTGATTGTGAATAGGTCATGTTTTTGCATATTTGTTTAAAATTCTAATGGTAAAACTAAGACAAAATATTATGTTGAATTCAAGGTTTACTAAATGCATTATACTTTTAAAAAGTATTTAAGCTTGTTTTATTTACACCTTTTCTTCTACTTTCACAATTATCTCAGAAACCAGACAGAGTGCAGAGTGCCAAGAAGACCAGCAAGCACCTGTACAGGTCAGCTCAGAAGGAGGCTGCCTCAGAGGCCGAGCTGACCTGGGCAGACTTGTTCATTGAACCTGTACATAACAAAGACACAACTGGGACTGATGCAGATGCCAACAAGGTGAGATAGGTGTTAGAGCACTAGTTGTAAGGTTTTCAATAATACTACAGTCTCCTGTCTGGGTACTAAAGACTTTGAGAATTATGGTGATTATTCTATTTATCAGTGGCATCTGTCTGTTGTATGAAAAAAAGAACTTGTTGAAATAATTATGGTGCTTAAAAGCAAAAGTACTAGGCTAAGAAATTGATTGATTGATTAGGTGAAAGAATACATAAATTGATTTATAAAAAGCATTGGTATTTAAACTTGAAATCCATGCATTGCTAAATATAATAGATATATATCTAACCAGGTAAGTGAACAAATCTGGCTAAATATTTCAATTGGTTTTCTTTGTTGTTATCTCAGAAACTGCTGTTAATGTTGCTATCAAATTCAGCTTAATCACTGATCTTTAACACCATATTGTGCTCAGGACATGAGTGAGATCTTCCAACTGACTGGAGATGGTCAAGAAACTGGCCGCGACGGACCCCTGGACGGCCACCTGCTGAGAGAGGAGGACAGCTGTAGTAGTGTGGACAATGACCCAGACAGAGTCCACCTGGATTTAGATTATGATGACCCCCACAGGTATACACAGGTAAGATTATATGTGGACAAGCATCAGTGAAGTTGAAGCAAGACCAGTACAATTTTTAAAAGTTAAAAGTGTATTTAATTACTGTTTATTGTTTCTGCTTTGACTAGAACCATTTTACATGGTTTTAGACAAGATCTGTGATATATGACTATATTCATACTTACACATCTGTTTTTTATACTGCTTTGAAAAAAATATGTATTTTGAAAATGCTCTTGTAATCTAATTATATTTCCTCATTTAAGTGTAAATGAAATGAGTAAATGTTTTAATTATTATTATTTCTTTTTTTCAGTCTGATCTTTTTGATAAGAATGTATTAGGAGTGAAAAAGAACCGCCCAGTCAGTGCCGTACAGCAAAGGTCAGGGGACGCAAAGAGGGCACGACCCAAAAGTGCAGGTAAGTCAGCAACGCTGGTCAACACTGACTCTAAGGTGGATTCAGATGCTGTAGCTGGAGCTTGATTCAATACAATCACCGGGATTTTATTTTTTAATGATGGTTCATGATTTTTGGAGTAATAAAGGAGAACGGTTGTTGTCAGGGGTAAGGGAAATTCTTTTTTAATATGTCCTTCCTGGAGATTGTAGTATTTTTTTTTTTTCAAATAAAATATTTTCAGTCACTGATATGGAAAGTAAACTGTTTTCCCTTTTGTTTATATTATGAAATTTAAAAAATTAACATGATGATAAATTTTTTTAGCATTATAAAAACTTTAAAGTTTATGCCAGTATTTCTCATGCACTTTTAGTGATAGCCAGAGGAGAACGACCTCTCAAATATGTAACCACACGTCCAGTCTCCGCCCAAGTTACAAATAAACTGAAAAAGGACAAAATCTCAAACGAGAAACAACAAGACAGCAAAAACAGAAATGAAAACAAGCCTAGTCCAGGATCAAAAGACGTTAAAAAAAGGCGCCCGCCTAGTTTAACGGCCGAACAGCTGGCCATCATACGAAGGCCCGAGTGCGTGGATCAGTTCGAAGAGGACGTGAAACGCATGCACCAGATGGAGGAGGAAATAAAGAGAGCCACAAAAACCTTGCAGAAGAAACTGGGGATAAGTGGGGATGGAGCCATATAATGGACGTTACATGATGTCCAGTTATAATGCATATAGAGAACATGCTAATTATAGGCAACTTGAAGTCTAAGTTGTGAGGAACATTCACAGGGTTATAGTGATGTGCATGATGACATTGATGTGTTCAGTCTAATGTTAAGAAGAAATTATTTACTTTTTATTTCCTGCAAAACCAAAAAAAAAATGTTTATTTTATGGATTTTATGAGTTTTATCATCCTGGTGCACTTGCACTCAAGTTCTTAGTTGAAGTCAGTCTTCTCCTTCATTGTCAACCACCTATAAAACTTTGATCCGTCCTCATGTAGAATAAGCAGCTTCTTCAAGTGAAAACTCAGAGACAACCTAGTTAAATCCTCACAGATATTGCCAATATGTCATTTTTTTTCAAGTGTTGGCCATTAATTAAGATGTTCTAAGTTGTAAAATTGCTTGGTTCTGGGGAAAAACATATTAATCAGTGCATGCTTCCAGACATTTGTATTGCTATGATGTGATTTCAGTGCATGGTGAATTCTGTCAAAAGATGCTCAAGGCATGTGCTGTGTATTGCTATAATATTTTGTAGTATTAATCTTACCTATTAATAAGGACAATTTGAGCTGTTATAGCAGTTTGTATTCAGAATACAACAAGCTGAGTCTTATAAAAAGCAGTCATCCTCAGGTGGTGAACCTCATATTTGAGGATATAGTCACATAGGCCATAGAATGGTGCCTACTGCCTTGTTAAGTATTTATTTGGAGTTAAACATTTTTCTTTCTTTGTAGCTTGACAGAAGAATGTGCATGTTTAAATGCATAATGGTATAAGTTTGTGCAATCATAAGAGAGAAGTATCACTTTCCCACCACATTTTTAAAAGATGTCACAATTTTGGTATGCGCCTTGTTGTACAAATAAACATGACTTAATATAAAGTTCTATTTCATTAATTCAATTCTCAAATGAAGGACAGCATTTCAATGGTTTTACAACATATATCCTTATCCTTGGTATCAATCATTCTCTTAAAAGTCCTTGTCCTTCACAGATAGATTTTTCTCTAGATATTCACAGCTGTCTCCAACTAATTCTGTACTTTTCTGTACTGAGAGACACCCGGCAGGTGTATAGTATAGATCACTTTTGCAAGGTTTTATAGAATACATAAAAATATTAACCTAAGACAAGGTTTTATAGAATAAAAAAAATTTCATATAGGCTTAAGAAGTTCAAGTTAATCAAATGGATGCAGTCAAAACATCCCTCTATGTGGTTTTAGTTCCAGCAGGGCATTTAAACTGACAGTGAAAAACAAATTTCATTAAAAAAATTATTTGGGGGGGGGGGGCAAGTAAAAAGCAAATGAAAAAAATTAGCACACGCTCCTAGGGTAATGGCAAAGTGAAAAACAAATCACTTCTTAGTTTTGTACTGTTGTTTTATTATCATTGCCCATTTTCACATTTTGTACCACATATTCAGACAAATTCTACCAAGTACATACTAATTTATGGCAACTATGAATAATACAGTCACGCCTCACTATATCTAGTTCACATTTTTTTCATCTTCATAATGTTACTGACTCCAACAAACTCCATAAGCTAGGTCCCCAATCAGATGTACATCTGTTGTATGTGATTAAAAAACATAAAAATTTACAGCTCTGAATAAATGGTTCTGAATTTACAATTATTCACAAAAATTATTCATCTTTCACATCAGAATTGCAGATGATAAGCATTTTAAGATTCTATCACTGTACGATGTACTTGCAAATATTTTATTAAAAAAATCCAAACCTTCACTCTTTTTCTTCATATAAAATAGAAAAGTAATTTTGGTCCATGATAAAACTATTAATCTAAAAAAATAGATTAAAAAATCATCCAAGAGGTTGAAATCGACATTGTTGCCACTTCTGCAAGTAAAATTCATTTTTGAGCTTTCTCGGCCCCTGTCATAATTTTCCATTGAAATATCCATCCGATTCTGTCACTCATATCACTGAATGATGTCAAAACTCAATGGTTGCTTCTGTCATATCATGGAAGTTATATTTCTTTCATTACAAAAAAATCTTTTAGCAGCTTGTTAGATTTATCAACTGGACACCGATTTTTTTGGTGTTCCTCTTAGAGTGGTAGGATGCATGTTTTCTTTTAGGCAGGATTCCACCGGCTTCTTGTGTGCTAATTTTAGTCTGGTGAGTTCATCTCTTGTCTTTACCAATTCCTGGAAATAATAATAATAATAATAATAATAATAATAATAATAATAATAATAATAATAATGTCATGTATTAACAATCTGTTTCTCTTCTTTCGGTCCAAATGTAAACCAATGCACTGAAACAAATGTCAAATATTAGTTCATGAAAACTAAGATTTATCCTTATTTTTCAAATCGTACAATTTTCTTTCAAACCCAAGGGAAGTAAGAATGATTTGTTTCAATCAAGAACTGACTGGCCACAAATGAGGTACAGAGATGGCCCTTGATCTCCACCTGAAAAAGAGGCCACTTGGAGGAGTGACCAGTCACTTTGGTGATCAGTTCTCACCAAATTAGCCTATGGGAGAAAGAGAATGTGATGTATATGGGCTTGAAAATTGCCCTCATAAAGAGAAAAGGCTGGATGGCCTAACTGGTAAGATGCTTGCCACTTCCAAGTAAGATAGAGAATGTGAGATGCTGAGAGTTCAATTCTCAGACAAATAAAACTCATTAATAAATCTAGGAAATTCAAATACACTATTTTTTTTCTTTTCAGAGCAGTTTTCCTCTTTATTTTACCAGAAATAAATAATTATTAGTCAGTTCTTGGTTTTGAAGATACAACTGTTCATCGTTTTTTATCATATGGTATCTTGTATTGAAGATTTCAATTTAAATATGAAAAACCATAATCATTAACTCGGTTTTGCACCTTTTCTTCCCTAAGCATGCGATTTTTACCTTTTGGGAAAATGTTCATGAAAAGTTGAAATGGAACAATTATTATTTAACATTTCTCAACAACCTTTAAAATGGTCTCTGAGCAGCTGAAAATATCAAATCTATCAACATTCATGCTACAATCACATTATTGTTTTAATTGAAATCTGGACAGTTTTCTCTCAATGTTTAACTAGTCTTATAATATTTACAGGAAAGCATTTAAGTCACAAGTCACACAGTGCTATGCAAAACACTACGACATCCAAACACTGAACATTCTTCACTATTGGAATTGGACATCCTCTGATTCTGAAAATAAAACAATTTTCCTTTCAACCCTCTAAAAACAACTTTAAATGAGAAACATAAGCCCCATTCAGAATAGGAGACTAACTAGTCCAAGTGTGAAATATGGCAACCTACTACAAAGCTTGCCGTCTATTCTGATAAAAGACACTGAATAGATATCCCATGGGGAAGTATTCAAGTGGGTCAGCCATATTTGACCCTCAGACTACTTAGTCCCCTATTCTGAATGGGGCCATATATTGATGAAAAAATCAGAAAGAAAGACCACTATTTGCCAAATCTGGAAAGTTCATTTTTCAAAACTGTTACAATCCAGCAAACTTTCTTTTACCTCCATCAACCTGTTGTTCTCATCTTTCAGGCTCATGTGGTATTGGATCTTCTGTTTAGGATTCTGGTGGCCGACCAGGCGGGCATTTTCCTCTCTAAGGGTCTCCATTTTTTCTAAAGTAGACTTCAGCTCCTATGACAAAATAAATGTGTAAACAAATTTTTCAAAATAAATAAATAAATAAATAAATAAATAAATAAATATTTTTTAATAATAATTAGCCCTAGTTCCTTGAATAGAATTCAAATATCCAGATATTGGTAAAATAGTCTTTACTGGGGTAGGGCTAGCAATTTTTTTTCGCTTAGCCAAATCACCGTTTTTTTGTCAATTTGTTATCCAAATGGTTTTAATTTGACTAAAATGAGTCAAATCAAGCCCTTTTTGTTTAGCCAAGTTCAGCCATTTTTAGCATTTGGCTAAATTGGTGAGTGTTAGCGCTACCCCAGCTCTAGTATTTAGTAGAACAAACTTATGCATTGATATAAGCACACTTGAGGATTTTTAATAAAAAAAGTAAAAGTCAAGAGTGTAGACAGTTAGAGTGTAATCTTTGCGCACTTTTATTAAATTCATACTTAAAGCAATACCAAATATATCATTTTCCTTGAAAGCTCTTAATTCCCCTGCACCCTGTCTCTCTTCATATTTTTCTTTGTCTTTCCTAAAGCAATAATTCTATCTTTAAACCAATGTGGAAAACCCACATCTGCCCCAATGATAATGACTGGCCAGGTTTACCCTCTTGGTGAGACTTTACCTCAGTTTTCCTGGCATCCTCTTCCTGTAATAATTCTACCTTGGACCTCAAGTCATCACAATCACCTTGTGCTTCTTCTAATAACTTGGTCAATCTGGAAGCAGCGATTACAAAATAATATACAGTAAAGCATTATCTGCAGGATTAAGGAGACAGTCCAAAGTGCCATACATACTGCTTTAGTACAAAAACTAGCCAGTAATTTAGAGCAACAACTGCCTTCCCTGGATTTCACTGAGCATGACCCGTTTTCACTTCACAAGACAAGAAATTGCGGCCTTGTGTCACATATAATACAGACATTGTATTCTGTCATGGATACCAGACAAGACAGAAGATAATGCCAGACAGAAGATAATGCCAGACAGAAGATAATACCAGACAGAAGATAATAGCCACACTAGGTTCGTTTCAGATAATCTTTCAGGGATTTTGTCATGTTTAAGGTCTGGTGTTAGGATAGAAAAGAGGCTTTTTAAGATCAAAAAGAAGATGACTGTTGAGAATTCTCAAATGCGGGCAGATTGCTTTTAAACAATAGATTTCAAAAGTTTTCTTACTTTTCCATATCTCTGGTCTTCTCTTCTACAGTGGCGACAAGTTCTCTGATTTCTTTTTGATGCAGTGAAGTTTCCACTTTCATAGCTTCCATATTTTCTAAAGCAGACTTCATCTCCTATGATGATATAAATGTGCAAACATAAATTTCAACTTTAAAA